TTTGATTGTAATAATTATTTAAACGTAACATTTTAATTTACTGCCATCGAGTAATTTGCTTTTTAAAATTACGCTTATTTTTTTGAGTTGCTATGATTTCTTGTTCCATACGTTTAAACAGAAGGGAATACAATAATTAATGTATTTGAAGATGATATTAATTAACCCGCATCCGCAATTAAATTAGTGAATACTGCATTGTTTTTATAACATAATGGGAATGTGTTCGTCACGTCTGTTTTTTTAATATCACTTTACAGTCCATAGATGAATAATCGCAAGCTGAGAAGCATTGCACTAAAGCGAACGGTCTGACACAAATATTTTATTCAACACCGTTGTTTGTTAATTACTAGTGTACATACACCGGTAATAAAGTCACCAATTGTATAATGCAGTTTGTACAGTATTCCATTAATTTTGTCACATTATCGTTCGCAAATTAGATACAAGGATCGTGAATTCTCGTTATACTCGTCATACGTCTGTCGCGTTTAATTAACAACATTAACGATTTTAAAGGACGCGACAAAATCGTGCATAAAGATGAAACAATAAATTATTCCCCTGATTAACGATTGTTATTTCGAACAATTGATTCGTCGGAACAGCGGAGCAGCACGAGTAATTTCTACCTCGGCGAGAGACGAAATCTCGATAGCCGAATTTATGAATATTTCACGACTCGTTGTTTTCGCGATTTCGCAAATACCGATCGAAATGAATTTAATTCGCTGATGGAATTCTCGTCCTCTTTAATGTTTCCGACGATTACTTATAAATCGAGCCCGGGCGTTCTGCGACGAACGATACTTTATTACATTACTTAATATTAATATTATTATTATACTAGTCTAATATTGTTACTGCATTATCATTTTTACCATTTCGAATTATCATTTTAAAGTGGTATAGTTTGTGGAGTGCATTTTGAAAATTAAATTCATCGTTTCAAGTAGTGCATTCACTTAAACTGTTAAGCTTTACTTGATTCATTATTAAATTATTGTTTCTTTCCAATTATGCAGTTGATTTATTTTCGGACTCTTTGAGTATTGAATCGATCTAAAAATTTAATATCAAATGGAAAACATATAATATTACGTATAGCGTTATGTAGTATCATATCGAGTAATACCACTCAAGTCGAATAAATTCCTAATTTCTCGTATGTTTTTAATGTATCTAATACTCAAAGAGTTCAGAATTCTCTTTGACTAATTATTTCAAGCGTCTGAGATTATCTGCACGATATTATTCTAGTACGAGTTTAACCATTATTTATGAATTCATTCTGCCATAAATTTACCATAATTCGCGAAACGAAATCCTAACTTGAACCATCGCGCGTCCTTTAAACATCGATTGTACGCGGTTGCACGTTTTCTGCAGTTTGCTCGTTCCTTCCACTCTCTGTTTGAAATTGCACAGTACACGCACAATTATCGATTACGCGGAAACTGGCACATCGTGTATGGGACAAACGAATTGATGTACGTGCGCAAGATGCAAGTATGGAAAAGAAAAAAGAAGGGAAAGGGAATATCAGAAGCCACGAAAAAAATCCGTGAATTTAATTTTCGTTTTTTCCGATCCGCCAGGCCAACAGCTGTATTGATCGTCGAATATCAGCCGATCAAATAAATTGCATTTTGCTTCCTTCGTCTCACCGACAGAATATGAACTCGATGCGAAATCGTAATTAATTAATACGCCAAATTGATTTCATCGGATCGCTTTGCTTTGTCGTAAGTTTTAACACGCTCAACCCTCTTCGTGCGCTTTCGTTTAATAAATAAGAGAAATGTCAAAGTAATTAATTACGTGATACGCGCAAAGAAAAAAAGAAACAACGGACTATTGTACACTGTAGAAATACATCGGACACAATGAAGGCTAGTTTAGACAAATTTTCAAATTAACAAATGTTTCATATATGTTTGTAATAGCAGAGCTGATCGAAAGAAGGAAAAGATATTTCAAGCAATTATCGTTTAAAATATTTCTGAGTATTTTAAATTTTAGTACGGTTTAAATAATAAAGTACTTTTATAAATCCGAATAATCCGAGGCATAAAATGAGATATTTCAATTTTTTAAATGTAATATTATATACAAATGTTTCTTAGTTAGAAAAGTAGATTAAAAGAAAGATCTATAAGAACAATGAAACATTCTCTTGCACACTTATTTCCCTCTTCATTACGAGTATTACATTTTGTCATGTTTTGAAAGATTTTTTCCATTTCAATATTACAATGATTATATATGCTAGCAAATGTGTCTGTATCATAATGATATGAATTGGATTTACTTCGTATTTCAACGCGACATGTGTCTCTTAATATATTAATAATATACAACGAAATATTAAGAGATATTGAATGCACAGCGATATTTCCAATAATATAAATAAGCAAAATAAATAAAACAAATAAAGAAAATATATCCCGTATATTGTGTAGCAACAGTATGTTTTAAAATACTTTTAATACCGATACGATGGCAAGTTGAATGAAAAAATAAAACAGAGATGGATTCGATTATTACAAATTGTCATAAATTCCCGCAAGTTAATAGCTCGCTTAATGATTTCGGCAAGTTTTTTTGAAATATTTCTTTTCATTTTCTTTACACCATTGAGAAATCTAATTACTATATGTACATATCGTCACGAGTTTCCAGAGAATGGCTGTTTCAGACGATCTGAAACATCTTTTCCTCATTTCCATACCATTGAATCTTTATGAATCATCGTTCGCCATCTGAGCAGAAATATCGAGAATTGATTCGCTCTTTTCCGTACCATTTATCTTGCTCTTGTCTTTTATTTTCTATAATTATATTCTATAAAGTCGCTCATCTTTTTCCTCGAGTTCGCTGATCCATTCGCGAGGTCTCGAGCAGATGGTGGCCATTTGCAACTTTCACGGTATCCAAGCAGCGTTGGACGTCGGGGAACAAAAAACGACAGGGAAGAAGAAAAATTTGTGTGTTACACATTCGCGTAACAGTTCGATGCCACGCGTGTAATTGACGAACTTGCAAAATTGTGCAAGATAATTCACAATTTTATTTACGCTCGAAAGAATATTTCTAGGAGCCTTTATTCAATAGATGTTTGCAGAAAATTATTTAAGAAGACATACATTTTCGAACTTGTTATTATACTGCTTCTGAATTCTTTCCATTTGTTAAACTTAAAAATCGAACATTTTAGTTAAAGTTTATGAATTGGAAATTCATGTTGCGTATGCAATAGATTAGGATAAATTACATATGCATAAAATAAATTATGAAATAGTATATGTTTTTTTAACCTAGTTTTAGAATAAAATAAAATTCCAAGTTTCTTTAATTAGTTTCTTCATAAGTTTCTCAAAAATATAGTCATTTATATATGTAAATTATATTTTTTTATAGTCTGCTCGAACAACGTTACATTTATTCGATATTTGCGATATTACGATATTCAGTTCATGAGGTAATATTAAAATATTCAAAGTTCAATAAAATAATTCAATAAAAGAATCGTACAAAAGATTTTAAGGATTGTTGCAAAAGCATCGATCAATTCTTAAGGTTCATAGTGAATCTAGTTGCGAAGAATTTTTTAATGCTCTTAAATTTTTACAATTTAACTGTTAAATAGACTTAAATTGTTACATGATTTTTCTTTTATTATAACAGTTTTATTATTATAACGAAATTATAACAGTTTAATCCATTTGCATAGCAAATTCCGCGAATAATATCCACCGAACGCGGATCATTTTATGTTCATTGATATGTAATATTATTAATTGTTGTATTTATTGACGTATATTATCCTTTGTATTATTATAATATTCTATTCTAATCTATTTTATTGTAATTAGATTTTTATGAAAATTCATATTTTAAAATTGAATTTCGAATAGAAAACTAAAGAATTCGAATTACTGATATCTTTTAAGAAATTGAACGAAATTTTTCATTTTAACCTTTTAATAATGACCGAATGAATTATTGCAGTACAATTGTTGACAATAATATAAAAGAGATCACGGAAAACGTTTGTAATTCCCAGAGCTCCTCAATTTTGGCAAATATCCTGATTTTAAATAATTCTTCAGCTGCTTTACGTTTAAAATAGAAAATACTACACTTTGGATATTTTATGTGTCTTTTTGTATTGCGTATACATTCAGTCCTTTACATTTGAAAATTTCCTACAAATGTGCAAAAATGTCAGAAGTAAAACTTATTATTAATTGATATTAATAGAAAGTAACTCGGCATAAATTGTGTATAATTTAGTAGATTACACACGAAAAACTTTTACTCATTTGTCAATCTGTTTTAAAATTTTCCGATTTATACAAATTTCTGTTAATAAATACAAGATTATAATTTTACAGATCATAACGCGAATGGGTTGAAATGTCGACAATATTTTTATCGGTTCAGTTTAGCTCTTCGTCACATATACATTTATTGTCGCGAAAAATTATGCAAACCCTTTTGAGTGTAATCACGAAAAGTCCAAAAGTTACTGAACGAAGGGCGCGTAACAAATTCGAAATTTGCTTTCATCTTTAAACATCGTTTTTAATACGTTTGTTCAATCCCCTCTGGACCTTACAATTGAACAAATA